TTTTTCTTTCAAATACTATTTATTACACGGAGGTAAATGAGATCCGAACCTGTAATTTTTAAGGTTAACGTCAAGAGGGATGACAATTAAACCAACCAGTTCCCTCCTATCCAAAAGTTCTTGAACTTGAGGACGTCGTTTTCCTATGTTATGGATTGGGATGTAGGTGTGCCAACTTTGTTATTACCCCACGAGCAGTCTTTTGGACTCAAAAGTCGAAGACTTTGGAATCAATTCTTAGGCAAACTTTCAATCATGATTAATTGATTTTTTTATTCAATAATTAGGGATATGTTGATCCAAATTTGGATTTGTTCAATCAAATATATAGACTAATATTTTTATCAATTTATTCAAATTTATTTAAATATCTTAAATCGAATACCTCATATTTCTCCTTCGACAACCTAGTAGCAGGAGGGATTTCTTTCATTTTTTTACCTCATATTTTGTAAAAGAATTTTTTCTTAACTTACCTTACTTGATCAAGTGTGGTATTTTTACCCAACTTCCTACCCGATTAATCGAGCAGAAAGTCGAGTAAATATTTTTGTAGCTATTAATTTTTGGATCATTTTAATAATTCAATTAAATAACATACACTAATTTAACAACACAATAAATTAATAACACTAAAATCTAAAACAACTATAACAATAATTATAATAGAACATAAGAAAGCATGAACATCAATTCATCATACTTGTTACACAAATACAATAACAATTATTTTAAATTTAAACAAAATAAAACACATTAAAATCATAACTGCTCCAATAGATCACTAATTTACGAAAAATCATGTAACCTACACAAAAAATAAGTTTATGTTTTCGCAACTCAAACATTCACAACAATAACAATGTTATAATACAAATTATACCACACAAATACTCTTATAATTATTAAAAAAATAAAAAAATTAAATATATTTTTTACTGATAGGGTAGGGTAGGAATGCAAAAATTGATGAGTATTCCACATTTCTATCCGATTTAATTAGAATACCAAAAAAAAATTTGCATTCCTACCCAATTTTTCCGATTAGCCGTTCAGTAAGATCGAGTAGGGTAAAAAATTGCGGTCAATCAAAAATATAAAGACCCCTAAGTAACAGAGATACACCTAACCCTAGTTGTATTTCTTGTTTCTGATTGTGGTATTGGGTCGTTGACGGTAGTGGTAATGGGTGATTGGTAGGGTGTTGCCGTGATAGTTGCTATGACGATGGCGGTACTCCGACGGTGAGGGTGGCGATGGTTAAGGAGTCATTGATAGAGTTGGGCGGGGTAAGTTTTCTTGGGTTTTGCAGCTTAATGGATGAGTTCAATTTTTTTTTTTGATGAACGGATGAGTTCGATTACGTAAACAGAAATGCAAATAATGAAATTAATTGCGGTAATTAAAGGGTCAGTTGCTTGATTCATAGGTTTAATATTTAGGATTAATTAGCTTGATTAATGGGATAATTTTTTTATCAAAATTAATGGGATAGTTAATTGATTACTTAATAGAAGAGTTTAATTATAGAAAACGTAAATACAAACAATGAAATTAATTGTGTTAATTAAGGGTTGGTTGCTTGATTCATGGGTTTAATTTCTAGGGATAATTAGTTTGATTAATGGGATAGCTAATTGATGACTTAATAGACGAGTTTAATTATTACATAAATTCAATTAACGAAATTGAAGGTGTTAATTAAGTGGTCAATGACTTAATTAATGAGGTTAATTAATTAATAGGAACAACTAGTTAATTGATGGGGCTAATTTTCAAATTAACTTGAAGATATCAATGGTGTTAGTTGCTAATTAAATGGGGCTTTTATTGCTTAAATTAAATTAATGGAATAATTAAGTTGATTAGATTGATTAATGGATTTATTGGGATTTTACAAAAAAAATTAAAATCGTGGATATTTTAAAATAGAAAAAACAAAATTAAGAAAAACTCGCAAAAGTTGGTAGGGGTGTTCATGGGCCGGGCAGGACCTAGGCCCGTGAAATTTTTTTCGGGCCAGGCTAGATAGTTTAAACTTAAACCCTTATCCAAGTGAGTTATCGGGCGGGTCGGGCCGTGCTTCGAGTAGGGGTAGGCTACCTGCAGCCCAACACACGGGCTTGTTGGGTGGGCCTGTTTGCCGAATTTTTGATATACATTTTTATTTAAAAATAATGAATATTTTTGTAACTTAATATTTGTGTAAATTATATTTTTGAATCAAAAGTAAAGTCAAAATTGATAAAAATAAAATAATGAACTACATCTAATAGAATGAATAAATCCCAATTATGGTGATACCTACTAACTTATTTGTCATCTGTATTGCTCTACCATTTAAAACTTATATGTTTAATACATGAAAAAAAATAATACATTATTTATAATATCTAAAATTTTAAAACTTCAAATTTCAATATTGAGAGACTTATTTCAAAATTTCAAATTTAATGATCTAAAAGTGTAACTTTTTTTCAAAGGAAGGGTAGGTTGGACTGGGCTTGACCGCGGGCTCTTAGACCGGGCATCGGGCCGAGTAATAGGTTTGGGGGCAAACCTAAACCCTCTTTTTAAGGATATTGGGCTCAGACTCGAGCGGGTCAATTATTGAGTCTATCGGGCTTTGGCCTATTTTTTTCGGGGTAACAAAATCCGTGGATAATCAGGCCATGGACACCTCTAAAAGTTGGTATGGAACTAACAGTGGACCCATATAAAGGATAGTTTGGCAAATTATATTTATATGTTACACTGAAATCATGAATTTTGAACAATTATCTTAACAGAGGCTATTGATAGGTGTTGTATTACACGTGCACATATTTCAAACGATAGGGGTTATGTGTAATAAAGCAATTGTTAGGAGTTTAAGTGATTAAGTGGCAAATTTTATAAATTTAAATGTAATTTATTTTTTTTATTAATAAACACAAATTCATTACAATTTTTTTATATTATTATAATGTATTAAAAGTATCAAAACTTTCAATCTATCAAAAATAATGTAATGTAACCCCGTTAGTTTTACGTTAGTTTTTTTGAGACACTGGATTGGTTTTTGACCAAAATATAATTAACGAAAGCTAACAGAAATGTCATATTGTAATACTTTTGATATATTATGGGTATAAAATAAAAAGATATAATTTTTAAGGGTATAAAATAAAAAATTAAAAATCTTTCAAGGTGCAAAATGCAAAAAGCCCACAAAAATTTAGCAACGGCTACTTGGTCATTTGTTAACTCAACCCAACCCAAAACACACAGACAGTACAGCTCACATCTGAAGCTTCAGCTTCAGCTTCACCTACACAATTGACCGTTAGAAGAACATCAAATGACCATAAAGTTCGAAAAACCAAACCCCTAACAACCCCACCTTCCTTTCCCAACACAGGAGCGTACCAAACCGACCGTTGTCACTCTCTTTCCTCCACCACTCTCACTGTTCCTCCCAAGAAAAACCTTGAAAGGCCCTCTTTGCTTCCACAAAGAGGCCTTTTCACAAACACCCACATCGCAAAAAACACCCAATTTGGATCAAACCTGCAAGAACTACAGTTTTTTTTTTTTACAGATTTTGAAGCTGAAACAAAACAACCCACAAAAAAAAATGGATTCGAATCAGAGAAGAAAAAGTGGGATTAATCTCCCATCTACAATGTCTCAAACCTCGTTACGCCTCGAAACATTTTCGGGTTCTTCTCCTTCGTTTCAATCAACATCGAATTTGCCTTCGCCGTTGGCAATGTCACCGAGGACTATATCGAATTTATCTTCGCCATCAAAGTCTGTGACATGTAGTGACAGGTTTATTCCATGTAGATCTTCGTCGAGGCTTCACACTTTCGGGCTTATAGACAAGGCATCCCCGGTGAAAGAAGGAGGAAACGAGGCTTATTCGAGGTTGTTAAAGTCTGAGCTTTTTGGGTCTGATTTTGGCTGTTTTTCTTCTCCTGCAGGTAAGGGGTCGCCGATGAGTCCGAGCAAGAATATGCTGAGGTTTAAGGTGGATGATTCGTGTCCGAGTTCGCCGTATTCGCCTTCGATCTTGGGGCAGGATAGTGGGTTGTCTGGTGAGGTTTCGACACCGCCCAAACCGCCTAGGAAGGTGCCCAAGACACCCCATAAGGTACTCATCTGCTTTTTTCCTTTCATTTGTATCTGTAAAAGATTTGTGTTTTTAGTATATAATATGTTTCATTAGAGGGAAAATTAGGAGATAGAAAATAAAATCATGACTTTTATGCTGTTGTTGATTGATTATTAGAAAGAACCAGCTCATTGAGCTAAATGCTATTGTGTTGAGAATATTTTTTTTATTATTGGTCTGAATAAAATGTCTGCTACCATATAAAACCTTATTACTCTCCTTCATTTCCTGTCTTTTCTTGAGCAATTAGAAGGTAGTACTGTTTCCTAGGCAGTAGTTTCATACAAATGCCCGAGCGTAAGAACTAGTACACTGAGGAAAACTCGAGGAAATTAGGCCAAATGATCTAGCTTGTTTTCCAACTGCGTATAGGTAGATAGTCAATGGTCACATACTGCCCATGATGATTTATATAGCATTCAAAAATACAAAAAAGTGACAAATTTGGCTAATGAACAAGTTTATTGTTAGAAGTTCAAAAAAAAAAAAAAANGGAAGATTAGACTATGCTGTTTGACAGTGCATAATATAATTTTCAGGTAACAAAGTTGTGTGACTTGGGACCTAATGATGGTGTGTGCTCAGTCCAGTGGACACGAGAGGGTTCATACATATCAATTGGTACAAGTCTTGGTCAAGTTCAGGTAGCTAAGTGCCTAATCTTATGTCATCCTGCTTATCTTCATTCAAATTGTGCATTTGTTTCAGGGGATATCGTGCATTATTGATCTACAATACTGTTCAAGTTCACCAAAAATTCTTTGCCTCTTGTTCAGGTTTGGGATGGGACTCAGTGCAAGAGGGTTCGAACAATGGGTGGTCACCAAACAAGAGCCAGTGTTTTGGCGTGGAGTTCGCGAATACTATCATCTGGAAGCAGAGACCGAAACATACTTCAGCATGATCTCCGTGTGTCTACTGACTTTGTTAGCAAGCTTGTTGGACACAAATCAGAGGTACTATAGTGAATTTTTTTCGGAGTAAAATTCCAAAAAATCACATTACTTTTGACATATGAGAGTTAATGTCTTCGTTTTTTATCCTTCAGGTTTGTGGGTTGAAGTGGTCTCATGATGACCGGGAACTTGCATCGGGTGGCAATGATAATCAGGTAGTTATTCATCCATTGGACTTATTGTTTCCCATATTCCAAGTATGCTTCAATATGTAGTGCAGTAATTCAAATTGCTTATGGTATGGTGAACAGCTTTTGGTCTGGAATCAACATTCTCAGCAGCCAATACTAAAACTTGCAGAGCACACTGCCGCTGTAAAAGCCATTGCCTGGTCACCCCACCAGAATGGCCTTCTTGCATCTGGGGGTGGAACTGCTGACCGGTGCATTCGCTTCTGGAACACTATGAATGGCAATCAATTAAACAGTGTCGACACAGGGAGCCAGGTCTCCATCTAGAATGCTACCTAAATTAGTAAAACAATGTTTAAAATGCATTTTTCACAGCTTTAAATACTTCTTGGGTTCCCAAAATTGAATAAAAAACTTATCAAGAAAAAGTTTAGAGTGAAGATTCAACACCACTGGCTAACAAATTTCATGGCTTCACCTGCAGGTATGCAATCTAGCATGGAGTAGGAATGTGAATGAACTAGTCAGCACCCATGGCTACTCCCAAAATCAAATTATGGTGTGGAAGTATCCATCATTGGCGAAGGTATCAAACTTTAGCCCGTAATGAATTTTTTGCCATCCTTCCTACACTAGGCTTTCAGTATCCTGTTTTTCTGTCGTAAGAGAATTACATATTTCCTTTTGGATCTCTCTTCTCTTCGATAGGTTGCAACTCTAACTGGCCATAGTTTGCGGGTTCTCTATCTTGCCATGTCACCTGATGGTCAGGTACTGCTACGAGCCATACATAGTTTTAAGTGTCGAAAGAATTCATTTGTAAAGCCATCTCAACTTGTCTTGGAAAAGTAATTAATTGTTCATCTCCACTTGCTTGTGTAGACAATAGTGACTGGAGCAGGGGATGAGACACTGCGGTTTTGGAACATCTTCCCATCCATGAAAACCCCGGTGAGTGAACTACCCATGAAGGAATTATCCAGTTTTTTTCTGATCAAAAGTGCAATGTCCCTTAAAATCTCATCAAAAGTCACTGATCATAGCAATGGCTTCCTCTTCTCGTTCAGGCACCAGTGAAGAATACAGGACTTTGGTCATTAGGAAGAACTCATATTCGATGATAAAATCCTTGCACAGTTGGACAAAACCTATTTTTTTCGATTAATTTGTAAATAAATGGAGAGAAAATTTTGTGTGCATTGATCCAAAGTATAAAAGAAGGTAGCAGATTTTTCTTCTTGCAACAAGTATTGAACAGGTTAAGAATTACTTGCATAAATTTGGAAATTGTAAAGTATTTACTTTAAGGTCCTTTGAGGTTACAGACACTAGTATGTGTAGATCTTGTACTTCAATTTTATACAGTTCCAACATATATAAAATAAACTTTCCCATTGATTTACTTTATTTGTTATCATATTTTCTCATTTTGTTAGAGATGTGAGGCCAAAGTCTCGAGGAAAGTAGATAAACTCTGTGTCTCTAAAACGAGACACAGAGTTTTCTTAAAATTAAGGATAATTTTAAGGAATTATCCTTAAAATTCCTCTCTCCTTTGACAGATTTCCAAGTTTTTGTCCTTCTAATCCATTAAAAAATTGGCAGCCGTTATCAATTAGAGTGATATAAAATAAAACTGATATTTTAGAATGTTAATGTGAAAAATTTTATAGTTGAGGGTGTAAAGTGAAATATGAATAATTGTTTAGGGAGATAAAGTATACACTTTTTCCATTGATGAGCGTGTTTTCAAAACACACTTTTATATAAAAAAAAACTATGATAATGTCATCGTTGTTAATCTCATCACTTACGTAACACCCACAAAGGATAATATTTTCAATTGTCAGCTATTTTAATAACAAGTCCATCATGCATACCTTGTGCTGGGGTTGGAATGTGCAACACTTTTTTTTTTCTTTTTTTATTCATATAATAAAGTTATACTGAGAAACAAATCATTCGCACTTGCGTACTATGTCTTCATTAAGTTTCAAAAACTTTCATTTAATTTTCAGCTGTTTTGTATTTATTTATATTATTAATATCATCAGTTTTACATCATATCGTTAGTAATAGACTATAATTTATGCAATAAATAAAAAAAAGAAATTCACGCACTTTTTTCATACAATATCAGACAAACAAGTTATTATTTGTTATTATTTGTATGATATTAATCTGGCACATTTATTATTCATGTGAATTAGTCGAAACATCTTTGGATTCACATCGTAATTGTGTCGTGTGAAAAATTACCAACCCTAAACATACCTTTTTAATATAGGTATAAGTATAATCAATCAGTCAAGACAAACTCCAGCAGCAGAACACAGCTGGACATGGTAACAAATTTTCCAACAGCTCTTCTGTAAGCTATTCTAATGATGCATGTTCACATCTACTCCATGAGAACTGTTTGAAGTGGACCAAGAAAAAGTCCACCTGCCTCAAAAATTAAAGAAACAGTATGCATATATGTCAATAAAATCTCAAATCCATTAACTTCAATCCTCAGCCATGTGAACAATCTGATGATTTATTTACAAATAAAACCAACAAGTAAAGCTAACAAGCAGGCTGCAATAGCCTCTAACAACAAAAAAGTATACAAACAACATATTCCCTCGACAGCATTGATTCCTAGTAGCTTCCTTGACATTTCAACAAACTAGATTGACCAACGCATGATTATTCACTATGGACATGAACATGCACATGACAAAGCTCTCAGGTTGTTCTTCTTCCAGATTATTTTCCCTTTTATCTGTCGGATTCCGACTTTGCCCATTTCCTCACAACAGCATACAGAAATGTGTCTAATAAGTATCAGGATCACAACTGTAAATTATGATTTTTACATTGAATTGATGGTAACTGGTACAGCTTACTGCATTTGGAGTCTGCATAGCAAAACAATAGGAAGGCAGCACCTCAAAATTCTTCTCCCACCATGCCTGCTAAGTAGACACAGTGAGCATATTTTGAACCTTAGGTTTGTACATATCTTAACATGGAAGACTACATACAATATCCATGTGCACTACAAGTAAACCAGATGAAAAGAAAGACAGTATGCATCTAGGATTTTAAACAGAAACAATCAGTCTAGAAATGAACAGTAATTTGCTCAAGATATTAAAGTGCGTTGACATGTTCAATGATATCTGGCCAATTTTCAGTGATTGGGTAAATGTGTTCAATATGCCGGCCTCCAAGAAGAAAGTGCACGTATAATCCGTCCCCTCCATCCCAGCAACATCCATTGTGCGTCTTCATCAATTATGAAATCTGGGTGGTACGATGACTTCACCCAATCTTTGGCCATCTTCTTGATCTCCTCGTTCAAATCAAGCAGCCTAAATCCAGCCCTGAGATTCCGAACTTGCCACTGCCTGTATGTCTCTGGCCTTTCAATTCTCTCAGCAGCTTCACATGCAATGACATTCTTTGCCTCCTTTCCTAAAATCATTTTCTCGAGCAGTGTTCTTTCTGGAATTTGAAGGGGAATATTAGTCTCAAGCATTTCAAACCAGGAAGAGAAGTAAAAAAGTGCCTCGCGGAATCGTGTGATAAAGAATGGGGCACTATGAGTGCCATTTACAATCCCCTGGATGAAAATATCTGGATTCATATTCCTGATAAGCTTCAGAACAGAATCCCTTGGACAGTCCAACACCACAGTCTCATCAAGTAGATTCCTAAGTCTGAATAGAGAGTTCACTACGAGCACCTCATCTTTTTCAATCTTAAGATCCTCTATCTGGATTGTTTCCCACTTCTGTGCAATGCAATGGAACTCAAATGGAACGTTGAAGGTCACTGCATATTTAGCTAATCGAATTCCCGTCTCCTCAAGCAACTCTGATGGTCGGAAACCCGGGTGTGGAAAATCAATCCCAGTGATCCGAAGTTTGGGAGGTCCACCAAGGCGATTTGAGAGACGTTGTATGAGGGAAGGCCACTGGAAGCCATAAAGAATACCAAAATCAATAATATGGAGTCTGGTTGCATTTTTGGCTACATTCATAATTGTCTTGTTTGCGAAAAGATTGGAGATCTTTCTAAAGGGACAAGCAGCAAGAAAGAGATGGTAAGCTTTCAAGAGATCAGCAGCCGATGTTGGCATCTTAGTAATGTCTCTGTATATCTGGGTTCCAGAGCCAACCATGCGTGCTTCAAGACCATCAGCAAAATAATAAGCCAGTCTCTGCATGCCATCCCCTGTTGGAGAAGAATGTTGCCTGATCTGCTTCAGAAACTCATTTGTGGTCCTTCGATCATCAGCTGCAACCGCTTGTGCACAGAGTGTCAACATAGTTCTCAAGTCCACCACTTCTCTTTTACCTCCCTTCTTACCACCATTAGATCCCTTTGATTGACCATTTTGTGGCAGAATTTTACTTTTTCCATTCTGCAAAGTTTCACGAAGAGCAGCTTCACTTTGCCCTGCATTACATAGCAGCACCATATCAAACATTTCTGGTCTCACAGTTGATTCAGTGTAGAATGCCGACTGCTTGTTACTCCTTCTCTCGACATCCGAATCTCCACGATGATGATTCTTCCTTCCCCTTGATCCATCAATGGAGCAATCGTTCTCATACTTCTTCTCCATTTGGATTATCACACCCTTAATCTCTTCCTTTTGATCCTTCACAACCGACTCAGTACTCCCCCATTTGGCAAAGTATCCGTTGCCATTAGGTTGGAAGGAACTTGACTCCTCAACCCCCTTTTTANTTTTGATCCTTCACAACCGACTCAGTACTCCCCCATTTGGCAAAGTATCCGTTGCCATTAGGTTGGAAGGAACTTGACTCCTCAACCCCCTTTTTAAACTTCATAACAGACTGGCCATCCCTAAACATATCAGAAATACTGAAGGTACTCTCTAGTGAATCCACAGGACCAGTGCTAGTCGACATGCTGTAGGAAGGCTGAGAAGTGGTCTGTGAAGCAAGGTCCACAGAAAAATTTTCTACATAGGATGAATCATACTCACTAAGATGAGGAACCCAACTTGGGCATGACAAGTCTCCATCACCAGCAATGTCACTACCATAACAATTGCTGCAATCTCCAACACATTTTTCAACAGGGCTTTTGGTTTTTCGATCTATATTAGGCATCGGCTGGCGATCAGGTGAAGGAGGGTACTTCTCCCCAATGACCTCATAGAACGATTTCTCAGCAGCCTGAAGAGCGGCAGACTCTTGAAACAGACATGGCCTCTCTTCTGTATCTTCTTCCATAAGCATCTCACTTATGTACTTAAGGACCACATCACTCAAATCACAGTCCTCATGAGAATCACCCCCCGAATTCACACTATACGACTGAATTAAACTATTACAGTCTGAATCAGACGGAAGTGGAGGAATTTGAACAAAGTTTTGATTTTCGTAATTACTACCAACATTAAAATCATCCAACAAATTCTGATCCGAAAAAACTGAAAGGGTTTCATCATCGTCTATGGTTACATTCCTTGAAGGATAATCCCTTCCCAAATTTCTATCCATGACCAGCAAGTCAACAAAAGGTGTAAAACCCAGGATGGAAATTTACCACCTTAGCAAGAAATATTCTGAACAAATAATAACCAATCCTAAAAAGTTCAACTCCACCACTAAAATCTTTCTACATCTCTCTTCCTCGATCTTACAACTTTTACAAAAAATTTTACAAATTTAAGTTTTGTATAATAACAATTGCAACATACAAAGAACAACACTGAACTTGGGGAGATGAAAAATAAGATCTTTCAAGCAACAAAAGGTATCATAAGCTTATGTTTCGGATTAATTAGAGGACATGAACGAATAAAGTGTTTAAACTCTACATATATATTCATCTTTATATCCATAGTAGAGAACAAAAAAGTCAAACAGAATTCAAGCTAAAGCATAAAAGGAGAGACATTCAGCTTCAAAACCCTAGAGTTCCTATGTGTGTATGTATACACCGAAATGTTAGAACCATTAAGGATTCAAAAATTGTATAAGACATAGAAAGATGAGGTACCTCAGGGGTAGCCCAAGACGAGAGAGAGAGTCTTAAACTATAAACTTCGGGCATCAACCTTTTTTAACATTTAAACCCCAAAAGTCAAAACCTGGCAGGCTATTCTGAAGAAGAATTTTTTTTTCTTTTTTCGTAAATGACACTTTGTACCCTAATTTTGTTTTAGAATATCAATTTAAACCCTAAATCCTTGAAATGTGATATTTTGGGATGGCAGTTTTTATAGTATTCAGTATATTCCAGTTCATTGCAACCCATTTAGAATGATACCAAATCTAAAATTAATAAAATCACATTAATAGAGTTGGGTAAATTTTCCTTTTTGAGTCACTTTTCATTGCATACAAATTACATACTAACTAAATATGGTCAACGTAGCATACTACTATGATACCCAAAAGTTTATCCAATTTTTTTTTTTATTTGGGGGGAGGGGACTTGAACCTTTTATAAGACAAAGAGTATCATTTGATCAATAAGAAATTGATTGTATGATTTTTAAGATAGGGATTAAATTGAATTTATGAAATTTTTCTAAACCCAACCCTTAAATTTTGTTCACAGAACAATGTACTATATTTAATTTGATATTTCTTAACTAACACAAATACATTAATCACAAAGATATTTGCTATGAATTTACCTAAATCCACTCAAACCCACCCACCTCGTGGGTTTGTTGAAACTCTTATACATGGATTTTACTTGCAGGCCTGTTACAGGTCAAGATTCAAATCTCGGACCTAAAATTTGCAATCAAACAAGAAATAAGGTGATGTATTGAATTATTTTGATAAAGCCAACATTATGAATTCTACCTAAACCCATGAAACAAACATGGCCTAAGTGATGTGATAATTCGCCTCTCCAAGGAATGTAACCATAGACGTTGAATGAGGGAAGGCCACTGGAAACCATAAAGAATACCAAAATCAATAATGTGGAGCCTGGTTGCATTTTTGGCTACATTCATAATTGTCTTGTTTGAGAAAAGATTGGAGATCTTTCTAAAGGGACAAGCAGCAAGAAAGAGATGGTAAGCTTTCAAGAGATCAGCAGCCGATGTTGGCATCTTAGTAATGTCTCTGTATATCTGGGTTCCAGAGCCAACCATGCGTGCTTCAAGACCATCAGCAAAATAATAAGCTAGTATCTGCATGCCATCCCCTGTTGGAGAAGAATGTTGCCTGATCTGCTTCGGAAACTCGTTTGTGGTCCTTCAATCATCAGCTGCAACCGCTTGTGCACAGAGTGTCAACATAGTTCTCAAGTCCACCACCTCTCTTTTACCTCCCTTCTTACCACGGACCTTGCCACCATTACATTCCTTTGATTGACCATTGTGTGGCAGAATTTTACTTGTTCCATTTTGCAAAGTTTCACGAAGAGCAGCTTCACTTTTCCCTGCATTACATAGCAGCACCATATCAAACATTTATGGTCTCACAGTTGATTCAGTTTAGAATGCCGACTTCTTGTTACTCCTTCACTCGACACCTGAATCTCCAAGATGACGATTCTTCCTTCCCCTTGATCCATCAGTGGAGCAATCATTCTCATACTTCTTCTCCATTTGGATTGTGACACCCTTAGTCTCTTCCTTTTGATCCTTCACAACTGACTCAGTACTCCCCCATTTGGTAAAGAATCCATTGCCATTAGGTTGGAAGGAACTTGACTCCTCAATTCCCTTTTTAAACTCCGTAACAGACTGGCCATCCCTAAACATATCAGAAATTCTAAAGGTACTCTCTAGTGAATCCACGGGACCAATGCTACTCGACAAGCTGTAGGAAGGCTGAGAAGTGGACTGCGAAGCAAGGTCCACAGAAAAACTTTCTATATAGGATGCATCATACTCACTAAGATGAGGATCCCAATTTGGGCATGATAAGTCTCCATCACCAGCAATGTCACTACCATAACAATTTCTGCAATCTCCAACACATTTTTCATCAGGGCTTTTGGTGTTTCGATCTATATTAGGCTTCGTCTGGTGATCAGGTAAAGGAGGGTACTTCTCCCCAATGACCTTATAGAATGATTTCCCAGCAGCTTGAAGAGCTGCAGACTCTTGAAACATGCATGCCCTCTCTTCTATATCTTATTCCATAAGCATCTCGCTTATGTCACATCACTCAAATCACAGTCCTCATGAGAATCACCCTCCAAATTCACACTATACGACTGAATCAAACTATTACAGTTTGAATCAGAGGGAAGTGGAGGAATATGAACAAAGTTCTGATTTTCGCAATTATTAGCAACATTAAAACCATCCAACAGATTCTGATCCGAAAAAACTGAAAGAGTTTCTTTATCGACTATGATTCCATTCCTCGAAGGATAATACCTATCCAAATTTCTACCCATGACCAGCAAATCAACAAAAGGGGCAAAACCGAGGTTGGAAATTTACCACCTTTGCAAGAAATATTCTGAACAAACAATAATCAATCCTAAAAAGTTCCAACTTCACCACTAGAATCTTTTTACATATCTCTTCCCCGATCTTACAACTTTTACAAAGCATTTCACAAAGAACAAACATTTGCTATATAAAAAAAAACAACATTGAACTTGGGGAGGATAAAAATGAGATCTTTCAAGCAACAAAATGTATGATAAGCTTATGTTTAACATCAATTAGAGGACATAAACGAATAAAAATGCTTAAACTCTACACATATTCATCTCTATATCCATAGTAGAGCACACAAAAGTCAAACATAATTCAAGCTAAGCATAAAAGGAGAGACACTTAAGCTTCAAAACCCAAGAGTTCCTATGTGTGTATGTATAGAGAGATGAGGTACCTCAGGGCAAGACGAGAGAGAGAGAGAGACAGCCATTGTCCAATCCTCGCGGGCAACTTTCAATGAGAATTTTCTTTGTATTTTTTGGTAAATGACACTTTGCATCCTAAAACAATTTCAGATTCGCAATTTACACCCTAAAAATTTAAAATTTAAAATTTCACCCTCAAACACTGAAAAAAGTAGCAATGCGGTCTGTTTTTTTAAAATTAAGTAATATAAAAATAATTAAGCATAAAAATAGAAAATATAAAGATTACAGCACAAAAAATTGTCGGACAAAGTGGCAAATTTTTTATATTAGACCACAGAAAAAGTGTCATTACTCTTTTTTTTTAACAAATTATTCTCAACTATCTTTTTTTTTAACAAAATTATTCTCAACGATCTCTTTAGGTTAAGAAATCTTATATAATTAAATCAATACATATTTAACATAATAGTTATGTAATATATAGTACATTATATTTATATGAATATGAATTAGTAAATTTCATATAATCTGATATTATATTAAACAAAGAGTCTATCGAAGAAATTTTTTTTAAAAGTTTACTCTCTATAATAGAGAATTAAAGGCAAATAAAAAGTCTATTAAAAATACTCTTGTAGTCATCAATACCAATGGCTACTTATTAATGAGATGATGGGTCAAATATAAGACCTTTGTTGTCTCACTATTTGGTTCAATTCTTATATGATCCTTCACTAAGTATGCCCTAGATCATAAATCCTTGAGGGGGTGTTTGGCTAGACAATTAGGATTGGATTGGATTGAAATTTGAAGTTGAATCTCACCCAAACCAATCCAATGGAAGCAAGTCTGTCAATGAAATAGATTTTAAATCGAATCCGAGTTCATTTAACCGAATATGCATTAATATTTTAATCTATTTACACAAATCCGATTAAGTTTCTTTAAATGGATTTGAACTTTGATGCATATAAATTCGATCTGGCATATATACATACATACATACATACATATCTAATTGAGAAAATTTATTTTATATAAATACGTACTTATATTATTAATGAGATTTATATGAAATTAAACAAAAATTATTGAATAAAATGATTGATCGATTAAATTCGGTTGAAAGTTAACTTAAATTTGATAAAATTATTAATTTTTTATGAAATTTTGTTAGGATTCAAATTTTCAGATCGAAACGGATAATCGAATCAGATATCCAATTATTAACGGATGTTGATATGGAATAAGATTTTAAAATTCGTCGGATAAACGGATTATATTTGACATTCAAATTTTTTATCACATTTTAATCTAGAAAAATCTAAATCAGATCCAGATCCAAATTCAAATTCGTTGACAATCCTAAATGGCTAACGGGGGGAAAAGATCTTTTTTTTTTCTATCCAATCTTCTATTTTGATATTATTTTTGTGAACTGCGGATCCCATGCACTATGCCACCTAAATGATTGCTAAAGGCACATCAATTTGACTCTGACTCATCAAGATTTTCTTTAATTTATGTCGATCCAAGTGGAGCAGGTACATTATTTTTTGTAGCATAGAATTGCAGTTCATTTTCTATTCCACCCTCTTGGTCTTGGTGGGTTAACATTATCACACATAGATGGGTAATGGAGTGCCGTAGATGTCGGGTCCTGGATAACTCGGATTATAACTATCTCAAATTTGGAATATGTGGAACCCTTGGACAATTTTAACCCAATCCCTACTTTTTACCTACCTTTATCCAAGCAAACAAACACCCTGACAGTTTTTTAAGTATTCAATAGATTCTCTTTCCTCTCAACCGTACAAAATCTAAAATTAATGAAATAAGTGATGTGATATATCTAAAGCTTCCTCATATTACTTCATCGCGTTGAATTGTTTTCGCATTCAATGTTTTATTAAAAAAAATGAATTCAAAATTAATATTTAATTGAGAAAATTTCAGCCACACCCTTCTATTTTAACATATCTTCAAGAACACCCCCTTTATTTTTTGAATCTTCACTGACACCATTGTCAGATTAAAAGTATTAACTAAAATGCAATTTTACTAAATTGCTCATTATATATTTTAGAAAAAAGGTCATCCACACCCTTTCTAGATAAAAATATTTTTAATGAGATTCTCTCTATTTTCTAAATTTTTTTACCTATTAAAATTTTGATCAATTAAAATTCTGATAGAGCTAATTAAAATTTATTTTTTATATATTAAAATTTGAGTAGACTAAAAATTATATTTTTTTAATATTAAAATTTGATTTGATTAAAATTATATTCGAGGCTCAAATTAAATTTTAATCAACTCGCATTAAATTTTAATTGATCCTATTTTTTATTCATAAAAAATATAAATTTTAATTAACTTAAATTTTAATACGTAAAAAATAAATTTAAATCAAATTTTAATAAATAAAAAAAATAAATTTTAATTGATTTGAAATGAATTTTAATCACGACTAACAGCTCAAGTAAAGCTCAAATTGACTCGAATTTTAATACGTAAAAAAAGACTTTTAATAAGCTCAAATTTTAGTACATAAAACAAATAAAATTTAATCAACTCGAATTGAATTTTAATCGACTTAAATTGTAATGTAAAAAAAATGTTAATTAGCTCAAATTTTAATATCCAGAAAATTGAATTTTAATCAAATTTTATGTAGAAAGATTGTTTGAGATTTATATAGGGATAATTTTGGTATTTGAGATAATTTATTTTTGTTATAAATGGTAGTTTAATGGTAGAGGGTTCAGTGGTATTTAAATATAAACTAGAAAGGATGTCAATAATATTTTTGATAATAAATGGAGTGTCTTTGAAGATATAATAAACTAGAATGAGTGTGACTAAAATTTTCCCAATTTAATTTAATTTAAAATCAAAACTCAAAGTGGTCAACTAGTAAAAGTGTAAAACAAACGTTTATGTAGCATTAAATGTGGTCAACTTATGATATATGATCACTAGTTATGTCGTCTTCAACACGAGAGTGGATACTCTTGGTTACAACTTACGAGTAGGTAGCTAGAGCCTTCTTTTTTTTTTTTCAAACTTGGAATCATCTTGATCTTGGACTCATAAATCTCAAATACATATAATCACTTATCTTCTATACGTATATATTGTAATCGATTTCATTTGATAAAAAGACTTACACCACATTGGATCAAAAGAAAAAAGGGAGAATAAAACACTACTGCAAAAGTTAGATTGATCCAAATTAGTGGGAAAACCAACACAATAGTAATAATCAAAGAAGCACACCAATAGTGAAATCGAAAGTCCAATTTCTTTAAAAGGATGCCACTGCCATGTTTAAAATATTTTCTAGTTTACCATTAAAGTCTTCTCATGCATCATATGAGCGAGGGTTCCCAACTAAGTTTCGTCACTGATATTTGAGTTTGACGTTGGGGCTGTAGTGGTGGTTGTGATAGTCCGTAACTCTTTCAGAAATTTCGGCAAACATGAGGTGGCTGTGGTATAAATTCAATTCAAGACAATACCAAATGCAATCCAGTACTGTACGAATTCAGACCCACAAAATAGATCTGGCACAAAATTTCATCACAAAGAAAAACAAAAAAAAAACCCGTAATTCTTCTCCAGCTACCCAACTGTGTGTGAGGGCTTAGTTTGTCAAAACATTCAAATTCGTCATCATTGAGAGGGGGTTTCTAGACAGTAGCTTGTTGGCATCATTAACATGGGTGTGCAAAAACCATGAAATTGTACATTTTCTAACTGTACAAACCTTGTAATTGTAAATATCAAGGCCTATAAATAAATTCTTGATTAGCGGACAAATGGGTGTGAAATATTCACAAAACAATTGTAAATCAAACAAAGAAAATACCTGAGCAGCTATTGGATGTCCCTGAAGATGGTTGGGCAACGGCACAAAGATAGAGGGGGGAAGAGGCTATTGTCGCTGTTATTTTCACGAATAGCCGAACCAAACTCCAGTCTATCTGGCAACGAAATGAAGAACGTAATCAACAATGAATCCACAACAAAACATATAAACTAGAGTCTGTAAGCGGTGCTTGTAGTGAAGTGAAGGGGAGCGAGATAGACCGAGAAAGGGACAGCAACTTGGCTATCAGCAAAAAAGAATATGGAAGGAGTGAATGAATTAAGTTAGGCATAGTTTGGTGGGAAATTTGCTTCCGAATTTAGGCGTGACTATGGAAGTCCAAGAGAGAGAGCTGCTAGCCATGAATGGGAAGAGCATTAATTTGGCAATCATAATAGAACGTGTTTTGGGCGGGAAAATAAATTTTAGGAATGAATTTGATCTCTTTGATCAATATTTTTTAGTTAATATGAGTCACAAAAAATTAGGGGATAATCTTAACTTGTAAGAACACTCAAATCTCAATTTACGCCCTTAAAATTTAAAAATGTTAATTGACACTCTAAAAGATATAAATACATATTAATGTACACATGAGACTAATTGTCATCTATTTAGTTATTAAAAAAGTTTGAATTAATTATAAATTATACCCCTTAAAGTTTAAATATTTCACATTTATGATTGAAAAAGAATTTCATCTATTAAT